TTGACTAATTTCACTTAGATTGCATGATATTCTTTGTTTTATTCTGTTATGATTTATAACTTATAAAAAGTCAGAATATATTATTAAACGGTTCTTTTCAATTTACATTACACAAACTAAAACTTAATAAAATATCACTACATACACTTTAAGTTATTTTAGAAAATGTTCAAAAAATCCGCCATTGTTTTGAGTTGCATCTTTTTAAAACTGAATTAGTACCTAATTCTCACAGAAGGACCGATCGACTTAATTAAACTTCTCTCGTACCGCCATCGCCACTTCGAGTGCCTTTCTTAATTCATACATTTTTTTGTAAACCTTGTTGTTAACCATACCGCATAAAAAAATCTAAAATGGATGGGTCAGGTGATCGAGGAGGTCCATGCAATTGGTCCACCTCTTCCTATCCTTGAGTTTGCATAATTATTATGATATAAATAATGTTTAACATTCCTTTTTCATTATGAGGGGGAGGGGTCATAGTGAAAGTCATGTTGGAATCACTCTATTGATGCGCGAGTATCTACACACGCTTTTCTTGTTATCGTTATCGTCTCATTTTGTATTTCTTTTAACAAGAATTAAACGCTCAATAAAGAATATTTTGAGAATTTTCCGTAAAACTAATTTAACAGTAGAATTGAATTTACAGGAGTATGCAATAATCAAAATGCCGCAATGCGAAGCCAAAATAAAAAAGCTAAAAGTACCCTTCAAACACTGATATTTGCAATTTACGATTGTAATCTATTTCCTTTGGTTTGTTCTACACCATTGCATTCTTTTATCAAATGCGGTTTTTTCATTTCAAACGGAATAAGAGGAATCCAAATAACTATTTCAACAGTTATTATGCCAAAGTTTTAAAATTACAGCGAACTGATATAATTTTATTTAAGTACGTTAATAGTAAAGAGTGAGTTGTTTCTGTGTACAAATAAACGAAGAAATATACAGGGTGGTCCAAATTGTATTCCGGAAACTTCAGCAGCATATTCCGCAGATAAGAATAAGTAGAAAAGTTCGTATAAATATATGTCCAAAAACGCATAGTTTCGAAGATACGGGGTGTAGAAGTTTCATTTTTATTTCGATTTTTTCCAAATAATTTCTGAAATAAAGTCAATATTTGGATGAAAATTGGTGTCTGGGAGTTTTTTGATATGAGAAATATGATTTTGGTGTCAATATGACTCCTACTAGTAGAGGGCGCCACCTATATGTGTTTTAACTGTTTTGAAGCGTAATAACTTTTTGTCCGTACCTGTATAAAACTACCGAGCAAAAAAATATACATCTCTGTGACTTTTTACGTAAAAAATATCTCTTGGTAAAAATCGCTACGAGCAACCGTTTGGTTTGGTTTGGTTTGGTTGACGAAAAATAAACACTTTGAGAGTAGATAGTTTATTTCACTGAAATAATAAATTTAGGAAATTTTTATGTTTTTAAATTAATCATAAATTTTTCTGCAAAAAATAATGATAAAACAGTTTCTGTTGAACTTCTGGCACATAAACTTTTCAAATTTATGATTTCAGTCTAATAACTATTTAGTCAATATATTTAATTTATGTCAATGATCACAGGAATTGATAATTTCGGTTCCAAATATCACGAGAACTATTACTCGTAGCGATTTTTACCAAGACACTTTTTTTACATAAAAAACTTCGTAAATGTATATTTTTTACTCAGTAGTTTTATATAGGTACGGACGAAAAGTTATTACTCTTCAAAACAGTTAAGACACATGTAGGTGGCGCCCCCTACAAATAGTCAGTCATATTGACATCAAAATCAAATTTCTCATAGCAAAAAACTCTCAGATACCGATTTTCTTCCAAATATTGACGTTACATCAGAAATTATTTGGAAAAAATCGAAATAAAAATGAAACTTCTACACCCACTATCTCCGAAACTACGCATTTTAGGACATACATTTATACGAACTTTTTAACTTATATTTATATGCAGAATATGCTGCCGAAGTTTGCGGAATACAGTTCGGACCACCCTGTATAGAAGACAACAGTAATATTAAAACCTTAACAGGGTATGTGTGTGTGTCAAAAGTTGTATGTATTAAAGATGTTACTGCCAGTGGTAAATAATTATACGATCAAACGAACTTACCTGAAGTGAAGTTCGATCGTAATTATATGAGGCGTCCAGTCCGAATGTATTATCTTGATTTTTCTATACGTAGTACCGTCCCTGCGTGCACAATTTTAAAGCTATAAGCTAAATTCCCTCCCGCTACCAGTCTAGGTGGCCGCGCCGGCCCTGGCGCGGCGGTCGGTATTCATTTTTCAAAGATTTATTCATTAATTCAAGCGACCATAGGGCAAAACGGGAGGGTGGGAGAGATAATACATTCGGACTGGACGCCTCATATAATTACGATCGAACTTCACTTCAGGTAAGTTCGTTTGATCGTATAATTATATTCGCGTCCAGTCCGAATGTATTATCTTGATTTTTCTATACGTAGATGTTTAAAGAACTGATGGTTGCAAATTAATGAATGTGGTGCAGAAAGCATTTTTTTTTTTTGAGACAAAAATAGCTGAAATTATAAATATGTTTATTGAATGCAACCAAGATGAAACCAATTTAACGGCCATCAATACATGGATTTATTAAATTGTGACAATTTAACCTATACATATATGCATACTAAGCAGAGACAGAAACCCATAAGATGGCACTTCCATAAAGGATTCTGCCAAAATTGTTCAATTATACTTTATAAACCAGTTAACTCATCGTGTCGATAGAAATCCCTGTCTCAATGTAGAACTGCGTGGATAACTCGACTATAGTGAGGTTTAACCGATATATATATATATATATATATATATATATATATATATATATATATATATATATATATATATATATATATATATATATATATATATATATATATATATATATATATATATATATATATATATATTTTTTAAGGTGTTTATAACTCATTGCTTAATATTTAAAAGGCCTTACTTTTTAAGCCTTTAGTAAGAAATTAAGATTCTCAATAATTTATTTTCCAAAATGCTTTAATTACGTCGATGAATTAAACCAGAGTCATCATATAAATTAGGTTTCGATCCATACATTGGTATGGATATTGTGGACATTGATATAAAGTAGACACAGATATTGATCTGTGTCAATTTTATACCAGAAGTTTTATTATTATTTGTATTATTTATTTATTTTTTTTTTTGTTGATAATTTTCAGTAACTATGATATGCATATATAATTATATACTGACTAAAAACAAACTGACATCTGTCTCTGATATCTAAGGTTAAACGTGAAACCAATATATGATTTATTATTTTTCATAGCAGTTCACGGCAAGAATTATATAATCTATTTATATACGTAAAACTGCAAGAAAACTATTTCTACTTTATGATTTAATTGATATGTCTATTCTTTCCGAAATTTCTAGATAAGAAAGTAAAACTGTTAGGGAACATTTATGGTAAAATTTTAATGCAGTAAACCTTAGACACAACATATCTTACAAAAGCCTTTCAACGAGAAACCATCCAGATATATTTAAGAAAAAATTCAAAGTCTGCGAAAGTTTACATTAATGTTATTATAATCATCTCTTTCGAAAGTGTATTGTAGAGGAGAAAATATATATTATATACTGTAAGCTGTAAGAAAAAACTAACTTTTTGTTTCGATAATTTGCACAAAGTCTGTCACTTTGTCAAAATGTATAAAGTATTGGCCAAAACACAACACTGCTTTTATAGACCGAAATGGGTAAATATAAACTCTAAATGTAGATGGTGAGTATTCCAACATATGAAAGTCAAAGATTTACATAAACAAATTAGCATTTAACAGCCGTTATCATAAGGACCTCCTTTTGAAATGAGACACAGTTACGTGTTCTTAAGATTTAGAATAAAACTTACATTTCCATTAGAATAGCTTTAGCCAAAATAGAGAAAAATAGGAGACGTTTTTTTTTTTTTTTCCTTTTATATATATACACACACACTACATATTAGCTATGAAAATCTAGGATATTAGCTATTTTATTATTATATACATATTTGAGTTATTATATTATTAGCTGGTCAGCTAAGTTGATTACTTTTAATGACTTGGAGGTCAACGTTAAGTTGGTTGTCGCCTATTTTATGGTAGGAGGCTGGCAAGGCAGCAAACTGGAGGGTACCTAATGAATTGGCCGCTCGTGCCTCATGTATCACCCCCTTCTTTTTCAAAGAAGGAAGGTAAAGACATATTCGAATATCTGTCACAAATATCTGGATACATTCCGTTGTTTGTATCTTTTCCTCTAAGCAAGGTTCAAAAGTAAATTTATCCAGAGGTCCTTCTTCCTCATGATTTTCATTTGAAAATCCTTCAGAGGGAAAAATAGTTGATACCTTTCGTACAAGATACCGTCAACCACATTATGACTATGCGTCCGGTATCTATAACAACCGTCCATATTTGTTCCATGATTATATTTATGAATATTTTTCTCTTCCTTTAAAAGAATATTAAGTCTACGACGACTATTGTTAAATTTTATAACCCAGATATTTTTTTTTTTTAAGAGTTTGATTTCGAAAATATGCTGGACTTCATCTTAACAATTATGACACAGGAGAGGATAAGCGACATGCCATAGGGAGCTAAAATATTTTCTCAGATATAAAAGTTGGACCTTGTTCTGTGCTGAAGCCAGATCATTGGCTAAGACTGAATTCGTCTCCCGAAGAAGAATGTATCATCATCGAAGAGTCGAATGTTCTGTAGTCTCTTTGGATTGCCCTTCCCCCAACAAACTGCACAAATCGCTAGATTTGGTTATTTTCCTCTTCCTAGTTGCTGACCTTGTGTTCGATCTGTTATGAGATAGTGACACTTAAATAACGACTGTCCTGCTTTTTGAACGTACAGCCTTATAAATATAATGTGTGGGGGAGTTTTCCTGTTGAAATATATCGTTTTTTTTTTGAGGGTCTAAAATTTTTAGATTTATCACTTGAAATTCTTTTGTGAAATCTACTTCTACGATAACGAGACCGAGAACGTCATTTATAAAGGAATCCCTTTCACACGGAGAAGGGCATTCACTAAAATTAAAAAATTTTGTATCATTGAGACAACAACACTTCGGTTATTATAATATTATCTCGATAGCGAGCTCTGGAATATCTTAAAAAAGGAATCCCTCTCACACGGAGTAGAGGATTATCTAAAAGTACTAACCTTTGTCTCGCTATGAAAAGAACACTGGGAGAAGAACAGTCCGTGTTTATACAATATTCCTCATCCCTTTGTTTTCTCCTTTCCTCTAATCCCCACATTTCGGGATGTACTTCTATTTATTTCCATCCAATATTCGTCTAAAAATAAATATTCTAAAAGACTTACATGTAATACGTGTAATTAATTTTTCGATAAGGCTATCGATAACGTATAAAAGAAATCCCTCCCACACGGAGATGGGCATTCTCTAAAAGTACGAAATTTTGTCTCACTGGGAGATACAAATATTTGGCACCTAAATATATAAATAATATTCCCTTGAGAGTGAGATCTAAAATCTCATAAAAAAAGAAATCCATTCCAGAGATAGGCATTTTCTAAAAGTACAAAATTTTGTTTCATACCTTATTTCATTGCTGGGAGATAAAACACTTCGGCATTTATAGTACTCTGTTGATTGCGAGATCTAGAATCTCATATAATAGGAATCCCTCTCACGAAGAGAAGGGCATTCTCTGTAAGTACGAAACTTTGTCTCACGGAGAGGACAACAGTTCGATATATATATGTTATTCTCATTTTTTCTTTTTGTCTAATTCCATTGTTTCCTCCTTGCCTCTAATTTCCATATTTCGAAATTTGCTTTTACTTTAATTATTTCCATTCATTATTTAATTTCCTAAAAATAAGTATTATAAGATACTCACCGGTAATACGTGTAATTAATATCTCGATAGGGGATATCAACAATGACTTATAAAAGGAATCCCTCACACGGAGACGGCCATTCTCGAAAAATGAGAAATTTGACTCCCTGGGTGATACAACACTTCGGCACAACTTCGGTATTTATAATATTCTCTTGATAGAGAGATTTAGAACCTCATACAATAGGAATCCCCCTCACGAGGAGAAGGGCATTCTCTATAAATAGGAAACTTTGCGTCACTGGGAAAACAACAGTTCGATATTTATAATATTATTTGATAGCCAGATTTCTAACCTCATATAATAGGAATCCCTTTCACGAGGAGAAGGGCATTCTCTAAATAGGAAACTTTGTCTCACTGGGAGCACAACAGTTCGATATATACGATATTCTTATTGCTTTCTCCATTTGTCTACTTCCATTGTCTCCTCCTTGCCTCTAATTTCTACATTTAGAGATTTGCTTCCACTTCAATTATTTCCCTCCATTATTTAATTACCTGAAAATAAATATTATAAGATACTTACCTGTGATACCTGTAATTTATCTCTCGATAGTGGGATATCAATATTGACTTATAAAAGGAATCTCTCTCATATGGCCATCCTCTAAAAGTACGAAATTTGACTCACTCGGAGATGCAACACTTTGGCATTTATAATATTCTCTTGACTGCGAGATATAGAACCTTATATAAATGAGAATTCCTCTTACAAGGAGAAGGACATTCTTTACACGTACGAACTTTGTCTCACTGAGAGTACAACAGTCCGATATATATAATATTCTTATTGTTTTCTTCTTTTATCTAATTCTAATATTCCGTATTTACGTCCACTTCGTTTTCTCTAAAATAAATATTATACAATACTTACATATTGTTCCTTGTGTTCTACCTAGCTGTAGAACACCGTATATTACATAGTAATATCCAAAATGAGTAGAGAATAAACAAAATGGCTTCATCGATCTACGACGAAGAAATCGGAGAGCTACGATCCGCACTGCACCGTGCACGAAAGACGAATGAATACCGACCGCCGCGTCAGGGCCGGCGCGGCCACCTAGACTGGTAGCGGGAGGGAATTTAGCTTATAGCTTTAAAATTGTGCACGCAGGGACGGTACTACGTATAGAAAAATCAAGATAATACATTCGGACTGGACGCGAATATAATGTTAAATAGAAACAAAATTTAATTAAATGAAATCCTCTACTGAGGGAAAAGAAGACTCAAACTCACAGTCTCGTATAAAAAAAAAGTGTGAATTGTGAGTTTGAGTATCCTTTTCCTTCAGTATAAAGGATTTTAACTAAAATGTAGAATGTTTAGGAGGGGAGTTAATCACCGTGACCTTACAGATCTATTGTGTATTCCCCTTTCTTGAGTTATAACGAGTTATAACTCATCATACAGTCTCAGGGCTTTAACAAAAGCCATTATCTGAGACGGCTCCACAGAGGCCAGCTCTACATCCTCGACATCAGCCGTACCAAAGTTCATGGCACGAATGGTCGTCGTCTCGGCGAACTCAGCGATAAGATGTTCTGGTGTTTCCCCATTTTCCCCACAGAATCTGCATTCGCCGTTCTTTCTCAGCTTCAGCCTACTGAGGGGTTCATTGAGGAGACAGTGTCCTGTTATAAACGCCGTGACAATCCGAATATTGTTTTTACTTAACTCAAGGAAAACCTTTGATTTCTCTCGGTCGTAAGTTCTGAGGAACTTTTTCGAGTGTCTTAGACCGTTGGAGAACACCCATTCCAAGTTACGGATGGAGTCTTCCAGATTCTTCAGTTCCGCTTTCAGTTGATTCCCGTTTGGAAAACAGAACGGTTCTAGTCCAGCTAGTGGAGTGTTCGCTCCTGTTCTAGCTAGATCATTTGCTTTTTCATTGCTTTCTATCCCTTGGTGAGCAGACACCCAGAGCAGGAGGACTTTATTTTCTTTGCCTAATTTGTTGAGCTTCTCTAGGCATTCTTTGACCAACTTCGAATTGATGGTTACTGAGCTGATCGCGTTTAGTGAGTGCTAGTACTACCTTTTTTCCAAAGGATTTTAACTAATTATTATGTACTCACACTGGATCGCTGAACGTATACTAACAAAATTTCAATTACCTTCAAAATCAAAATAACACTTAAAAAAGGAAAGGTAAATAATGTAACACTTTCAAAATTTTAAAAAGTCAGTACTATAAATAACTTGGTATATTCATAACTTTTTTTTGTAATTATATTTATAACATTTTTCCAACCCATCAGAGGTTACCTACCATTTCTTTGAGGGTTTGGAACAATATTATAAATATCTTCTTTTTCTTCTACTTATTTGAGATCTAGTCGATCTGTTAGTTTTAAGGTTACCTCTAGGAGTTCTTGGGGAGATGGACTGCCAACTATTTTTCCATCCTTATGGAGGTCTTTCTAGCTGTCTCTCACTCACAGGTTTCCCTTCAAGAGCTATGCGCGGTAGCCTGTTTTCTTCCATGCGTTTTACATATGCGAACCATTATCTTTCTCTTTGTCTACCCCATCTCATTACGTATTTCTACGTAATTTACAATAGTAAGTTTATTTTTACGCTTAAATTTAATATTTTTTGTTAATCGAATTGTGCAATGAACGGCTCAAATATTTTAGTAAATAAAACTATATTCGATACCAGTTAAACTTTTAGTTACGTAATCGAGGGCGCGATTTTTAAATTCATTGTTGGGCAACCATGGACATATTCGGCACCGGGTTGACTAACAGGAATTTAAATTTCCCGCTAGGGAGACACTGCTGTAAAAAATTTCAAGTTACCACAATTATTTATTTATTTCCTGACATTGTCATTCATTTTTTCTCATCGAGTTTTTGGTTTAAATTAATTGTGTTGTGATACATTAAGCTTAAAAAATTTTACTAGCAGACCTTGCAATCGAACTTTGTTCTTTTTAGAACCTCTTTTAGTGTGAAGTGTACAAGATAGCTTAATAGCCGTAAAAACTAACCACAACTTTATTAGGATATTTTGAACGGAAAAGCAGTAGTTCGTTTTATTTTTTATTGGTAAGAGGGTGGTTTAAAAATCTTTTACAGACAGACGAATAGTGATCATTCCCATCACCATATCGAGAGACATGATCATAGAGGTTAACCCTAGACAGAGTGAGACTCGGATTCTTACCTACTAAAAACAGTCCACCTCCGAGGAGGAACTAGTTGCCAAAGTATGGTCAGCTATTATTCTTGCTGATATTGGGGAGAAAGAGAAGGGTTATTTGTGGGGTATTGGGAGGACTATTTTAAGAGAAGGGGGAGAGAATCGTTTTTAGATGGAGATATTTGGAGTCCTCGGGATTGTAATCTAAGATTTTTAGGATGTTATTGGGGATGGGCTCAATTTTCTCGTAGAACTTCAAGGCACGATCTCGATTGTATTCGGGGATGGGGTCGATGCGGATGTCGGAGTTGCGTACATACCAGGGCGCTCTGGAAATGTAGCGAAAGCGGTAGTAATGGCCCCTTATGTCACTTAAGTGCTGTTAAGAAGGTGAATTTTGTTGATGCACATAGTAATATTTTATACAGGGTGGCGCACCTCATTCGCCTCGGTTGATTATACGAAAACGGAATGTAGGGGATGTAGAAACAAAATATTTTATGGGTATATGTGGGGAGGTAATGTGGATAATTTAAAATTATTTTGAAATGTACAGAGTGTTTCAGAACTAAGATCCATACCAAAGTTATATTTTTTCTTACATAACACCCAGTATTTTATTTCATTTTTGGATTCTTGGGCCCAAAACAGGTATTTATTATAAGGGTTAAATATGTTTAAAATATTTGGTTTTTGAGATATTTAAAGATATTTAAATTTGCATGCCACAATAGAATAGATTATTAACACCCTGTACATTACGTTTCAGAATTAATTCTTGTGTTGAGTTAGGTAGAGAAACAAACTTTACAGAAAAATATTATTCCTCCCTTAAATGTATACAGGGGTATCAAAAATTGCTGGTCCATTTTAAATATTTATTTTACATAAAAACTTCGTTATTTCAAATGCAACACTATGTATTTTTTTAAATAAGTCGAAGCAGATTTAAATGCTCTTTCAAACTATACTAGGGTTTCCTATACCTATCTGGCTCATTTTGAATAAAAAGCGATTTTTCAATAAAATTGTAATCAAGATGGCTAGTGTTGTCATGGCAGGTTTCTAGTGACAGTTAATAGCTATTTTAAAAATTGAAATTAGTTTATGGACTTATTTGAATTTATACAAGAGTTTACTTTTATTTAATTTAAATATGTATTTATTATTCTATCAAGAAAAACGAATAAGTAATTCTTTGAATTATTTTACGATTACTTGTAGATATATGGATTTTCTATAAAAGAGCCAATTACAGCAAATTTATTTTCTTCACTTCCAACGACAGGTTTCTGCCTAATAGGTTTTTTATAAACTCATTACCAGGTCTGCGAAACAGGATAAGAAGTTTTTCAAAGAAACGCTTATCTGGAAGATTCCTATTTAAATATCTTTGGGCATAAGCCCTTGAGGCCAAGAAGCAATTTTCCTCACAAAATAATATCACTAGTAACATATCTATTCATTCCGCCAGCAGATACTGCTTTATTTTTCTTGATGAAGTAATGAACACTTCTTAGTTATTAAACTGTTGTAGGTAAATTCAAGTAAACTGTTATAAATTATAAATAATAATGTCCATGAACTAATGTCGACTTTGAAAATAGTTACTATCACTAGAAAATTGTCATGGCGGCACCAGCCATCTTGATTGCAATTATATTTAAAAATCGCTTTTTATTCAAAACATGAGCTAGATAGGTATAGGAAACCCTTAGATTTATTTAAAAAAATATAGGATTTTGCATTTGAAATAACGAAGTTTTTATATAAAATATATGCTTAAAATAGATCAGGAACTTTTGATAGCCCTGTATAAATTTAATGAAATAAATACCCAAAAATGAAATAAAATACCGGGTGTGTTCCATAAGAAAAAATATAACTTTGGTATGGATCTTAGTTCTGAAACACCCTGTATATTTCAAAATAATTTTAAATTGTGCACATTGTCTCCCCACGTATACCCATAAAATATTTTGTTTCTACATCTTTCCGTTTTCGTATAATCAACAGAGGCGAATAAGATGCGCCACCCTGTATATTTATAATTAATTTATTTTTGTTTCCTAAAATATTTTGCTTAAAAGAAAATATGTAAAAGTGGGCAACGTTGTGCCAGTCAAGTTTAATCACGTGCCTAAAAAAGTTTATTTGATATGAACTATACTAATGCACACATCTACACCTTATCAATTTAACGTAGTATCGAATGATTATGTATTAATAATACTTATTAACACAATAAAACAAATATTGCCTTTACTTTTATTGTTATTACAAAACAATTATTGCACTGTTAATACACATCTACTAAAAGATAATTGAAAGATTAATTTCTTGTGTGAGTAACGTAGCGTCGTAAACTAAATTAACTAAACCGTATTCTGTGTCGTAACTCTATAATGCACTCACGATATAGTTAGTACACTTACACAAGTACTTTAATAACTCGAGAAATTCAGTTTGCAATTTAATGGAGAGTCATAAGACATGTTGCTACATACATATTTTATTGGCGCAATAAAAATCATTGTGCATTTTATCATTTAATAATTTGTTCATGCAATTGTAAAACTTTTATAATATAATATTATAAAGAAAACTTTTTAAATCCAATCCAAAATAAAAATTAAGTGGAAATGGAAA